GGGGGGGTTGAATAAAAATTGCCGCTCTCATAGGTTAACATCCGCGCTCTGAAAAGAGCCAGATTCTACCTAAGCCTGATGAACAACCGCAACAAAGGCGACGTAAATAGGCACTCGCATCACAATACAAACGAGAGCCGAAGAGAGGAGCTGTCTCAGTGCCTCTAAGTTCAACCGCTCATAAAAAGAATCTATCTAAATGCAGATCAAATCGACAATGAATTCTGGCAGACAATCAACTCATAAACGATGGATCTACTCGGCCTCTGTTATTTTGTTCGACGCTCGCACTATCATTTTTCAAAACGGCCAAATGTGATGCAGCATGCAAATCCCATAAACCCCAGGGCTCGCTAAGAGCCTGAGAAATCGTCACAAGAAACGGTAGGTGGCAAATTGTATAGAGAAGCCTGTGGCTATGGTTGACAGTGTAAGACGGTTCCGTTCGTATGGGCTGAAGGGAAAATATACACAGGTGACGTGATTAGGGAGTTCCCTGGAAAACTGATTCATATTCAGCACAACGATGGACAGTGCATTTCAAAGCACAATTCGATAGGTACTCATCAGTGTTATAGTTGTTTATTCCTGCTGCAACTGGCAAATACTGGATCCGCTCAAGTGTTTGGGTGAGAATCAACATGTATAATTAGCCACTATTTAGTATATACACACACTAAACCAAACCAGAAAGCTATGCAAACAAAAGCGCAGGGGCGGAGGGGGGGGGGGGGGACTGATTCAGCTAGTTAAAATCTAGCGCGTGTTATGCTAAGACTGTAACCATACAATTGACCGAATATGGAGGAAGAACAGCAACACGAGAGGAGTCCATTGAGTCGGGTTGGGGGGAACGGACGACTGACCTGATCATGAAATCCGGACTGGAGAAAAGCCTGAGTGATTTTGTACAAATCGGCACCACATGATCGGAAGCCGGAACGAGCAAGTGCAGAGCCACGCACGATCTGTTTTAACTGGCCCCGAACTTTGATTGCCGTCTCGAGCCGGGATCGATTGAGAAAGTGAGCACGACACCATGTTTGGCGGGAATTGGACCGGGATCCGATCGGGTGCAATATCTGGTCGTTGGTCCGTGAACTTCGTACATATGCGCGATAGATCAGTAGGAGGCTGATTAGATCACCATCCGGATGATAAAATTGCTGTTGGATCTGTAAAAATCACAAAACGGAAACAGGATGTGAACACTACGAAGTAAATAAGCCAGGGTTCAACACACACACACACACACGTGTCTGTAACAGACGTTCGGTCGATGCATGAACGCACATATCTGATCTGGATTTTCATCTTAGGTGAGCGTCACCAAAGTAACCGGACACTGCCAAGGGATAGAAATGAACAAGCTTGGTTTTGAATGCCTCTATGTCATGTGGAAGACCAAAACTGGCCTCACATGATATAATTATTTTAGGAGAATGATAGCGATTGCTCCATCTATCTAAACCGAATAATACCGCTTCAAATTGTTGGGATTGTGACAGAGTTGTTATGCTCAATTTTACATAATTGTGAAATGTGAAAATAGCCCAGAACGCAGGTGTCCATCGGCCGGTGTAGTTCTGATCGCGCCCGCGGTTCTTATGACTCCCGACCAAGTGCTGGAGATTGTGAGAACCAATCCAATGCAGTCAGAAGCATATCAAGATCAGCTCAACTGTGAAACTATGCCGTGTTACAGGCCACTGAACCAGGAATTAGATCTACAACACTTGTCCGTGAACTAGTCTAAGGACAATACCAATAATCCTTGATCAATAGAAACATCACAGAACAAAATTATACTATGTAACCTGCATCGAAGCGCATGATACTCCAATGGGAATGGGAAATTCGTGGGGTGAAAAATCGCGTAATATGGAGGACACAACGCTTAAATGATTCCGGACAGAGACAGTAGAGCATAAAAGAACAAGTATAAGTCTACGTGACGTTGTGATATATATATATATATATATATATATATAACAAAATAAATACCATTTAACCGATGATGCACGTCAGAAACAAAGGATAACGGGGATTACTCTATTAAAGCACAAAAATTAGAGGTCATTTTCTACTCTGTTACATTAAAGTTCATTGAATACACCTCGATACTATTTCTTTGAAAGCATGAACATCTCTTTTCTATTAATAACGTCAAAAATTTCGTGGCGCGCTCTTCGATTGGCTGCGCTACATTTTCTCCCCCTCGGATTTATTCTGTTTTCGTGAATACCACATAATGACCACTCGGAAGGTCTATTCGCGGTCTTAGTTAATGAGTTTCAAACATGATCCACTCAATATTGTGCCTTTCATGTCCTCGTCGGCTCATTTTCGGATTCCTATTAAAATGATGAAACGCAAGCGCGGTGGCTGGTAAGTAGCGCTTAGTCGCAACACCACCATCGAAAATGACTGTCCCATCATTGGTCAGCACGAACATCCGGTCGCTCTTCACAAAGATGACGGATCTAACGTGCACCCTTGATTCACGCATCCACCGTAACACGTGTGTTGTTTGTATCCAAGAATCCTGGCTTGACCATAATGTTGAAGATTCACTAATTGGAATCAATGGTTTTAAATGCTTCCGTAAAGACAGAAAGCACTGTAGGAAGAAAACAGGAGGTGGAGTGATCACGTACATCAACTCAACCTGCAGAGGAAAGTCTGAAATTCTTTTTGATTATTCTGCCGATGGCATCGATTGCTTAGCTATTCAGAGTTTTCCTAGATTTTCGCAATACAGAAGTACACTCATTACTAACCTATACATAACCCTCCTTTTGTATCCAATCTCACATTTAATCTTTCTTTG